TATATATATAGATAGATATATTTTAGTTCTTTTTTTCAGGTCATTTCCTTTTTACTAATTTCTTGAAAAATTTGGATCATTTCTTGTTAAGTTGCTCATCGCTTTCCTCCCATGTTTTTGAAAGAAATCAAGCTGATGTACTCAGGTTTTGAAGGATTAAAAGAGCAAAATGGAAAGTGAAAGAAAAAGAAAGTAAAGCTAAAACTAAGAGCAGTGAAGGTGAAGTAAGGGCAGGGGTGGCCTAAAGGTCTGGAGAGTGGGCTTGATGGATTTCGGTGATGAAAGTGAAATATCAGTGACTGTCCCTCCCTCATTACTGCCACTGAGCAATTAACCCCCAGCTGCCCCAGTGAAGCTGCTCAGCAGCCAACAGATCAGACTGGGGCTTCCAGGTGTGAATGTGTGATGATCATAATCATCAGTCCCTTCTGTTATTTTGGCTCCCTCCCCCTGTGGGTTCATGTGATCTGATGGCGCCATGACACCCCTCCTGTCAGCGTCATATAGATCTCATTCCTCTTTTGTCCAACCCTTGTCTCGGCGGGGAGTCTGTGTGTGGGCGAGGGACCACAGTGGGTCTCAAACCCTCCAACTCCACATCACACACTGTAACTGAAGTCAGAAGGCTTCCCGGCACTGGCATGGCGCCAAAGTCCTACTTGTTTGAAGTTTCCTGTTGAATCTGCTGCTAGGCATGTAGAGCGTGTTTTGTATAGATGCAAATTACAGTGATGGAGAGAGAAAGGAGAGAGCCAGCGAGCGCATGAGAGAGAATGAACAAAAAGGGAAAGAAAGAGTCACAGGAGGGAGAAGAGGGAAAGAGGAAGCGAGGGGATGTGTGAGGTTAAGCCCTGTGTGTGTTTTGGCTTCCTGCCAGTGGGACACAAATTTGCGGGAGCTACAACTGAAGCCTTCACAATGAAGCACCGGTCCAGGATCAGGAATGACTGGAATGTTAAAAAATGTGAGGAGAAAAAAAAAAGGGACAAAGGAAGTTGGATGCTGGTCAGAGTTACATTCAAAGAGGTCGGACCAAACCAGACGAGGAAGAGAAGGAAGAGGGGGAGGAGGAGGAAGAGGAGGAGGAGGAGGAGGAGGAGGAGGAGGAGGCAGGACCGGGCTGACACATTTGGCAGAGTAGAAGTGTTGATTATCTTGTTACTATCAGCTTTCTGCAGGAACATGATTTCTTAAACAGGGCGTCTTCAGAGTGGCCTTGAAAAGATGGTTTCTCAGTAATTTATAGCTTGATTTGCATTTTGTTCTTATTATAAAGAGAGGCTGGAACATGTTATCTTTACCACTCTGGAACTGTGATACGTGTTAGTTGTTATATGTCGGAGGACCTCAGTGGAAACGAGCCACTTGGCTTTGTAGCGCTTTTATCTTCAATGATTGTAACTGCTGCTGTGTGTAAAATAATTTCAGTCGATTAAACATTATGTAAACTTGGACTCCTCCACTGGAGAAGCCATTAGCACGGCTACACTCCTGCTGAAAACACCTTGATTTCCAACACGCAGTCCAATTTCTGCAGCTGAACACAAGGTTACTTCTAAAATTTAGACAAATTCACACAGTAAGAGGAAAAAAAACAAATACTCTCCTCCCACAGAGCCGCTTTCCTCACTATCAGAATATGATACTGGAGGCATGCGGTGGTGCCTGAAATAAAGAGCACCTCTGCTAACGTTGGGAGAAATTCTAACACAATTTTGAAAAATACCATCAACCTTGAGGGAAAGAGAGCAGAAGCGCTGCCTCACACAGCAAAGGTCAAATATTTAATGAGCGAGGCTACTGTTTACAGAGTCATCTAGTAACTAAATCAATAATGAGACGATGCATCAGGATCTGCATGATTCAATCATTGATCAAACATGATGTATGTATTCAGAGATGAGAGCAGCACAGTGTGAGGACAAACAGAAAACCTTGTGGAAAAACAAGTAGAGACAAACAGGGCTGTCAGGCTGGGTGGGAATCACAGCAGACACTGAGAACATTGATAAAGGCACCAGTAATGTGTGTAGTACTGCAGAGTATCACAATATTTAGTGGCAGTATGAAGGCCACTCAGATCCTTAGCTTAAGTAGAGAAGTAATACCACAGTGTAAAAACACTGTTACAAGTAAAGGTCTTGCATTTGAAATATCACTTAAAGCTAGGGTAGGGGATTTTTTCTGTCATTGGGCAAAAATCCCAAAAATAAACTTTGAGCACACTGTAGCGGTCTGAGAGAAAACTAGACTTGTGCACCCCATCTTGGCTCTGTTTCCAGGCTTCACAAAATCTAGCCTGTGACAGTTCCCGATGCCTGTTCTGCAAATGCTGATGTCTCTTTGGTGTAAAGGCCTTTGCACGTCAAAAAATAAACACGACTCCACGTTGTGTCAATTATGTTCGCACACTGAGTCTGAAACTTTCGTCCGTCATTGAAATTTTCGGAATAGGTTAGATTTTCTATGTTTTTCACATACGTCACGACGACACTTGGACGGTTTCCTCTGGTTTCGTTTGTTATCAAAGCTAACGTTAGCTAATGCACTAAAACGTTAGCGTAAAGGAGAAATCCAATATTCCTCTTAATGCCTCCCGTTTCTGATGAGGTGGACACAATAACCCTTAATACACATAACGTTATGCATCCCTACAACAGGAAATACCTTTTCCCTAACATGATATGAAGTGTGCACTGCACATGTGAGCATTTTTGATGATGGCCTCCGTCCAGTCCTTTGGTCTTATCACATTTAACCATAGTTGTCTTTGTTTTTGTTGACGGGCAGTGGTGGCTGGTTTTGAGCCATGACTCCTTCTATTCTGGCTCCCAATAACACAACAAGACAAACACATTTTAAGACTCCTATGTAGCCTACAGCCCTGTGGGGGAGAGGCAGGCTTTGCCTCCAGCTAATGAAATAACGTCGGTTGTAAAAAGGTCGACAGACTTTAGCCCCTTTTACGCTGCCAGATTTTCTGCGAATGTTGGGCTGTTTTGTCGGCAAGCTGCGAGTGTTTATACACACAGAGGCAGATTGGCGAGTTGATCCGAGGTGCCCAATTTTCCGCCTCGTAGGGTAATCGTATTGGCGGAACCCTTTTAGTTTAAACAGACAGAGGCGGCCTTCCGCAACGGGAGGGGCTGTTGATGACTTGTGGGAGGAGCTGTTGATGACGCCGCACGTGCGAGCCACTGGCGGTGGATAAACAGGAAACAGCTGATAGCAGGAATTAGCGAGCAGATAGTAGCAAGAGGGAAATGCAAACCCGACAGACACTGTAAAGATGAGCAACTGGGGAGACAACGAATTGCGTGCCGCCAGATGACGGGGACGGTAAAGAACGGGCCGACTTATGAGAGGATCGCCGAAGGACTGACCAGCCGCGGCTTCCCTCCCACGTCACTGTTTACGTCACACGCTGAGCTACACGTTTTGTTACTTGCTCACGCCCCCCATTGACCCGAAAAAGGCACATTCTGTATAAACAAAAGTAGGCAGGCGGCGTTTTGCTGCACTCCCCGATTTTGTTTTTATACTGCCAATGCTGAAAGAAGACTGATTGGGCTTTCCTGCAAATTTGCACAATTCCTGTTTAAAAATGAGAGTGACTTTAGAGTGATGCCAATGAATCATAAGCTTAGAAATATTTTATGAACCCTCACTGTCAGGTGAAAAACTTTTTACCTTCAATTTTTCATCAATAAATCTTATTCAATTTGATCTAAACCAGGTAAATAAAGATATCAAATTGTAAATATTTTTTAAAAAATGGTACAACTCTTTTCTTCCAGATATATTTTCATAGTATTGTTTCATATTTTTAGTGCATTATTTTTCTATTCTGTATTCATGTACCTTGGCTTTTGCAGCATTTGCAAAACTTTTTTCTTTTTTTAAAATTTCCTCCTACTGTATCTATTGTTATGCACCAAAACACCAAGGTTCCCTGATTCCTTGTATGTGAAAACCCGATAAACCTGATCCTGAAGAATGTAAGTCCCTCAGCTGGAGTTAAAACATGAAAATAATCAAAGTTAGATGTGTGGTATGTGTCAAATCTGCAGTACTGACCATACTCCTGGTTGAGCCCCCATAGCTTGATCTTGTTGGCTTCGTGCTGGGCCTTCTTCTTCAGCCGGCAGGCCCTGGAAGCAGAGGAAAAGAGAACACCGTCAATCTCTGGAACGGGAGACTCGGTTCTCGTATTCCCGTTCTCCACGTGGTCCTGTTACTATCTCTGCCGGTTCACACTGAGAGCAGCTGGAGAGCGATGAGTGGAGGATTTATTTCCAAACTGTGAGGGAGATTGACTGGAAACCTCCCTCATCCCTCCTCTCCTCCGCTTCCATTTGACACAACGACTCTGAAGGGATGTGGCCGGTTTGGTTTCAGAGTATTTGGTGTTGAAAATAGGCAGCAGAGAATGAATCAATCAATGCATGTTAAATATTCATGTGTCTCATGGGGACTATTCTCTGCAGTGTGCAGAGAATTTCTCTTTTCTTGCGGCTGTGAGTCAGCTAAACGAAACTTAAGGAAACAAAAGAATTGCAGGCCAGTGCTGTTGGACTGAATGCTCCCTCTGTGTTTCTCTGCACGTTGAAACGGTGGGTTTTTCTCCTGTAAATTTCCAATTTGTACCACAGTCCCTGCTGGTTTGGGAAGGATGTGGACGACAATACAACAATTAAGCTGCTTCAAATCATTACAAGTTCCAAAATGGGTTTCCCACACGCCCCTGAACACACCATCAACATAGAGTCTAGCTGAAACATTCCCTGCTCTCAATGCAAAATCCAAAAGAGTCCTGCTGTTCATTGTGATGGCTCACCTACAGCTGCAAATTGATTTAATTGGCGTGCTGAATGAGTCGAAACCAGCGGCTGCCTGGAAGGTAGGAAGGACATATTCCCCAAATTAAAAGCTTCTGGTACTCTGAAGGGTTTGGAAAATGGCAGCTGTGGTTTAATATACTTGGAAGTGTATCCAAACTTGAGGCTTTACCTATTTTTGAGATCAAACCAAGCAACCAATCACATGACGAGAGGTAAATGAGCCTGCAGGGAAAGAATGACTCACAAGGCCTGCAGCAGTGTCACTGTGATGTGGACAATGTTGCAGGGAGGAAGTTATAAAACAAGCTATTTGACGGTTCAGCTGGGAGCTCTCTAACAAACAGTTGATTCATTAACTTCAAAGGAATACTCCAAAATTTTGGGGGGGGGGACATGCTTATTTGCTGTATTAGCAGCATGACTGTGAGATATGTGGAGCAGAGCAAGGTGCTATGCATTTAGATAATATACAGAACATATTGATTTTTTGGAGTGTATGTTCCATCAAAGTTCAGCACTGTCATGACTGTAGGCAACAGCGCCAAAATGCATTAGCATGTCATCAAAGATGCAAAAGCTGTCACCAGATTCACTTCTCCTTCATGAGTATATGGGTACAATTTCTGTTTCAGAACTGAGAACACTGCGACAGAATTAAACTTATCCGGGTATATAAAAGAAAACAAGCATTCTGCAGGTCCACAAAATCAGGCTCCCATTCATCGTCTATGGAGCCGCTGCAGACTTCACACTATATTTGAGACTTACTTCTGTGGTTTCTGGCTTTGAGAGAGAGTAGCTCATGCTCACAAATACTGACTGAACTTTCCTAAGCCATGGAGATAACATATTGGAATTCTTTATATAGGTGGTGTCTCATTTAAGGCTTAAAGTTATGCGTAATTACTGGCTTGGCCGCTTTGAGTGACAGGTGGGTGCCGTCTATTGACAATGCTTGTTAGGTAATGAAACTATGGCACAGACCTTGTTTCACAAAGTACAGGCGTAGCCCCGGCTGTCACTTATCAGTTACATGAGTTAAGGCAGATTAACACTTGTGCTTCAGCTCTACGCAGAGCCTCCACCTTTGTGAGCATTCATACTTGTGCGGTGGTGTGTCTGTGTCACTCTGCAGTCACACCTCCAAAACACTAGTCGGCAGCGGGGTTTCTGTGAAGTTTTGTTGATTTAAAACACATTAAACATGGCTTAATTGAGACATTTTCAATTACAAGTACACAAATCAGCTTCACTATAACTCGCAGCATTCACAGACAAAGCATTTGTCTTCTGCTGGACACGTTTTCCCCACAAATACAACATGCTAATGGTTTTTAGCACAAGCCTATGGCATTTCACACTGTATAAATTAGCCTAGCGGCTACTCATACAAAGCCAGGGACAACAGCAACATTTAACAAAGATAATGTCACAAAATTTGGCTCCATTACAACTCACAAGGTTCACTGACAAAACAACTGTCTTACACTAAACACGTTTTCCAAACATATACAACATGCTAATGTTATTAGCACAAGTCTACCGCATTTTACATCGTATAAATTAGCCTAGCGACGAGCGCAGATTTCCTCTGCTCATATAAAACCAGGGACAACAGCAATGTTTAACAAAGGTAATGTCACACAATTCTGCTCTATTACAGCTCACAAGGTTCACTGACAAAACAACTGTCTTATAACTTCCAAACAATAATTTCCAAACAAATACAACATGCTAACATTATTAGCACAAGCTTATGGCATTTTACACTGTATAAATTAGCCTAGCGACTAACCAAGAGTTGTCGTCTGCTCATATGTAGCCAGGATAAATCACACACAAGACTTAAAATGCTATACTGTGGAGGCTTTATTGTCTTCACAATTTATTGTTTCTGAGCAATTAAAGTAAATAAAAGCTTTGTTTAAGGGATGTGGTTTTCAGCTTACAAAAGTAGACAGGAGGTCTGCGTCACCGCCACGTGTAGTTCCATTTCTGGGAAGGTGCACATCAGGCTACAGCATAGGTTGATTCGACGCAGATGTATAAATCCTGCTTTAATAACGACGTTTTGGTCGCCTACAAAGTCTTGTTCAGTGTTTGGTTGAACTAAAAGTCCCTCTAAGAAGTTGGATATCAGTTTTTTTGGTAAGAAGATTTTGTTTTAGTGTGTTTTTTTGCTAACCATAAACTGTAAATGCATAGGTGGATGCTAACCAAGCTAGCAGCTAGTGTTAGGGTTAACGCCACCCTTCAAAAACACAAGATGGGGACGGCAAAAATGCTCGATTTGAGGCTTCAAAATGGGAGAGCAAAATCCAATGGGTGACGTCACCGTGGCTACGTCCATTATTTTCATAAAGCCTATGGGTTTAATTGAAGCCACAGTTGATCAAGTAGAAGCACCTGACACAAATGCAGCAGGGCTGCAGGCGCTTAAAGTGTTTCTTTTTCTTTCTTTATTTTTTTTTGATAAGGAGCTATAGAAGTTATCGAGCCATTGATTGCACATTTTAGGTGAGCAAGTACTTGCGGAAGATGTATGTCTTCAAGCAACTTTTGTAAACAGACGGGGAATCTGCTGATAAAATCGATTATTTAACTCATTTCAAGAGTCTGGATTGACATAATCATCATTCGTTTGCAGATCATAGTGAAAGAGAAGGCTCAGATATATTAGCCCCTTTTACACTGCCAGATTTTTGGCAAATGTTGGGCTGTTTTGCCAGCCAGCTACGAGCGTTTAGACCTATGGTTTAAACACACAGAGGCGGACTGGCGAGTTGATCCGAGGTGCCCAATTTTCCGCCTAGTAGGGTAGACATATTGGCGGAACCCTTTTGGTTTAAAAAGACAGAGGTGGCCTTCCGCAACGGGAGGGGCTGTTGATGACTTGTGGGAGGAGCTGTTGATGACGCTGCATGTGCGAGCCACTGGCGGTGGATAAACAGGAAACAGCTGATAGCAGGAATTAGCGAGCAGCTAGTAGCAAGAGGGAAACACAAACCTGAAAGACACTGTAAAGATGAGCAACTGGGGAGACAAGGAATTGCGCGCCCTCCTTGTCCTCGCAAACGAAGAGGCCATTAACCGCCAGATGACGAGAACGGTGAAGAAAACGACAATTTACGAGAGAATCCATGAAAAATCGACTGACCAGCCGCGGCTTCCCTCCCACGTCACTGTTTATGTCACACGCTGAGCTGAGTTTTGTTACTTGCTCACGCCCCCCATTGCCCCGAAAAATGCGCATTCTGTATAAACAAAAATAGGTAGGCGGCATTTTGCTGCACTCCCCGATTTTGTTTTTATACTGCCAATGCTGAAAAAAGACTTGATTGGGCTTTCCTGCAAATTTGCACAATTCCTGTCTAAAAAGGGCTATTGTGTCTACAACTGAGCTGTCTGAGACACCTCTGATGGAGCTCAACTAACAGTTTCTCCCTGCTTCCAGTCTTTGTGCTGAACACACAGAGATTAAACTGATATAAATCTCCTCACGTAACTCTCGGTAAGAAAGTAAACAACTGTATTCTCCAAAATGATGGATTATTCCTGTAAGTCTGTGACCAGGACATGATCTTTCCATCCCTAACTGTGTTTGTTGAAGCGCCCGGCCAAGCTGGAGACACCACAGCTAACAACTGGGCGTTTTTTTATTTCTTCCAACGCCGGCTGAACGCCCCGGGCAGGTTTGTTTTTGACAAAGAAAGAAAAGAAGAGACTGGAGGTGGTTAGGATAATCCCACGGCTAACTCTGACCTGTTCTCAGGCAGCCACAAAGAATGACAGCACAAAAAGATGTGAATCTCCACAGATGAAATTCCTGCATATTAAATTAAAACATGAACTCAGTCACATCGCGCGGTATGAGTGAAGTACTCGGTGACTCTAACTGAATACTTTACCCTCACTGTCTCCGTCTTCTTCTCAGTTTTCTTTTGCTTCTTCCTTCAACTTTTTAACGGATGATGTGTTTGTGTCGTGTTTAATATGTTTGGAATAATAAGATATTCCCAGAGTCCCTCTCCTCTTTAAACTGACTGTAATAATGTCCTTTCCTCCAAATCCCCCCCCCCCTTCTTCCCTCCAGAGATGAACTTTCTGTGACCCTCCTCATCTAACTCCTCGTCTGCCTCCACAATTCTGCCCTGATTTCCTCCTATTCATCCTCTCATCCTGCCTCCCTCCATCTCATCTCCTCTGTTGTTTTTCTCCGCTTCCCTCCATCTTTCCTTCATTTATTCCATCTCGCTCATGTCCAAGGTAAACTCATTAAACAGGGCCAATCAACTCAAAAACACCCTCATGACCTACATTTTCAAATCATTCATGTTGTGTGTATCGTCCTCAGGGACGCATGTGCTTGTAGTTGCAGTTTCCTCAGGTTTTAAAAGGTCATCCTCAGTGTGGTACACTGTGTACCCCTGGGGGAGGAAAGGAAATCAAATGCTTCCTGCAGGGTTCATGCAGATGGGGAAAGTCAAATTCAAGGACTTTTAAGTACTTTTTCAAGCACTCACTTTAATTTTTAAGGATGCAATTGTTTCCTCCACGACCATCTGTTGCAAGAGAACTCTGCAAATTTATAAATGGAGCAAACACATGCTGCTCGGGCTTAAAATTAACTTATTATTAATTAGCTGGCTATTATTATTCATGCGTGTGACTGGCAAAGGACAAAAAAGCAAGAAAATCGACAAAGCACAGAGCACAACACAGCAAACATTAACCAAACCACGAACCTTCACGAGACACTGCAGATCTGAGTGGAGTCTGAAGTGAAGTCCAGCGGCTGCTTGCTCCGTGGATAACAAGTGGCGCTAGCTGCTAACAGCTACCGCCCCAACCAACCAACTACACAAATCCACCCAGCAGCTCCACCATGGTTGCTTATTTACTGCCAAATTACAGCTCACAAATTGTGCTATCAGCTGACTCTGTGTTTCACAGGCTAGTGAAACATCCTGGTGCTGAATATTTACTGGAGTTAACCGACCCTTTGGCACTGCGAGATCACTCTGCAAATATGGCGTTAGAAAATAATTGCAAGCTCAGGCAGTCTTAGCAGTTTAAAACATCTTCCTAGTATGTTTCATAAATCAATTTATCATTCTGTTCTCCTCTCAATTTTATTTAAGTACCTTTTTCAGGGACCAAGTTAAACTAGAATTATCACTTTGCAGTTGTATGCCTCCATGCACAAGTCAAGTTGCACTTAGAGTTTATGTCCACATCTGTGAAAACATGGATGCTTCACACACCTTCCCCTGGCAGCCCAGAAGATACAATCAGCACAGTTTCAAGGTGGACACCCGAAATTAATGTCACCAGTTTAGTATCTGACCAAATGTCTCTTCTGTTCCTGAGATATGACGTTGCGTAATGGCCAGAATTGTGATATCATAGAACATTATGATGTCACAGTAAAGTTGACCTTTGACCTTTCGGATATAAAATGTCATCACCTCATTATTTTATCCTGTTAGACATTTTTGTGCCATAATTAGCGTATGAAGTCTTGAGTTGCCAGCAAAAAATTCAACTTTCACAAGGTCACAGTGACCTTTCACTTTTGACCACCAAATTCTAATAATTTCATCACTGAGTCCAAGTGGATATTTCACCAAATTTGAAAAAACAAAACAAAACAAAAAAAATGCATTCATGAGAATGAGACAAACAAGATCCCAGTGACCTTAACATTTGACCTTTGACCACCAAATTCTTATCAGTTCATTCTTGAGTCTAAGTGGATGTTTGTGCCAAATTTGATGAAGTTCCCTCAAGGATTTCTTGAGAAACTGTCTTCACGACAATGAGACAAAGACAAAGTCACACTGACCTTTGACCATCAGAATCATATCAGTCCAAGTGGACATTTGTGCCAAATTTGGAGAAAAAAAAATCCCCCAAGGTGTTCTCCAGATATTGCGCTCATGATAATGGGACAGATGTATGGACTGACAGACAGACAGGCATACAACTCAAAAACATGATGTCTCCAGGCTCGTCTGTCGCTGCAGCAGAGGCATAGAAATGTCTGCTTTTCAAGGTATTCCAGTACTTACACTTCTGAGTGCCAAATTCAAGTACTATAAGCACCGCTTACGAACCCTACTCCTGACACTTCAGAATAAAAACACTGTAAAGACACTGGAAATAAAAACATTTTTTGTGGATTTTCTGATTTTCTATCAAGTCAAATCAACTATACCTTAAATTGCTTTTCTCAATGCATTCGTCTCTCTCTCTGTGTCCTCCAGAAACACTACAAGAAGGTCAGATACTTAAATGCACCACATATTTGAAAACCAGTCTTGAAGGCTAAAGACTGCAGATACCAAACCACGGAGGTCTGCAGGATTCCCTGCTATTTTTTTCTGCAAACGCTTTACAAATACTGAAAAACCTCTCGAAATGCCCACTCATGCCTGATAAAATCAATACGGGAAGTCTCCAGGGCTCTGGCTCAGTGCAGAGGATGTAGGAGGGCAGTAAGTGGAGTCTGGTACCTGGAGGCCAGCTTGTTCTTCTCCTTACGGGACCGGGCACGGGCCACAGCGGGCAGGTCGTTGACGGGGCCCATGCCGTCGATGGCTGCGTTGAGCTTCTGCAGCTGCTCCCCGATGTTGTGCAGCTTCTGGGGGTTTGGTGTCAGGTCGCTGGCGTCTGTCTTGCGAGCTTTGCGGCGCCCTTTTTTGCCTGGACAAAGGAAAACATAATGAATTCAATGCCTGTCAGTGAAGGTCTTTCAATCCTCAATCTTAAACCCACCAGCGTGCCCGTAAATCTGAATTTATACTGTGCAGCCAAACGTTTGTCCAAGATCCACATAACTCTGGCAAGGTCCCAAATCATGCTCTGTCACCAAGAAATCCTTAGAAATATGCAGCTACAAAAGTGGCTTCATAGCTTTAAATATCTTAATTAAATGTAACAGGACTCAGTTACAGAATATATAAATATGTCACAATCTTACATGTTAATTTTAGACGCAGTACTAGTTTGTGATTTTATTCTATTGTGCATTAAAGGGACTGTGTCGTTCTGGATTCTTCTGAAGAACAAAGGCTGCCAAACTGCTGCACAGCCACAGTCGAGCCTGACGTAAGATTCACTTATCAAGGAAATGTTGAAAAATTCAGATTTTGACATGAAAGTTGTATGTAGGGCACATGCCTGAGGGTCCCGATCCGATTGGTGTCACATGAGAGAAAAGAAATGGGACACTTTCAACTGCAGTGTGAACATCGTTTTAATGACTCCTGCTGCAAAAAAAATACCTCTAATTCTGGAGATCTTGACACTTTCGCTCCCAGCTTCACCTCTACATGATCAGGACTGTGACTAACAATTAATCTATCAGCCATCTTTCTGATTAATTGGGTCACCAGACTACTCTGTCTGATCATCACCTAATAGCACATTTATGTGACTCCTTAAATGTTTTATTCAATAATCAAAATTTCCATAAATAAATTGTCTTGATCTATTGACGGTCTCATTGTTTCAGCACCCTGATAGTGCTGCAGTGTTCTCACCCTCTCGGCGGTACAGTGTGCTGGGTAGAGTGCTGGAGCTCCAAGACAGAGACCAGTGGACGTCTCCGCCCAATTTCTTCTTTGTAGCCGACTCTCGAGCGCGCCGGTACTCCCAGAAACAGCGACGCTTCGACGGGCGCTCGCCCGGCTGCCTCACTGGCTCGGCCTCCACCTCTGAAGGGAAACACAAAGAGAATTCTGAGTTAGAGCGCTGATGCAAATGCACTGAAGTCTGCAGTGAAGAGGGATGGGCCAACATGTGACTTTGTGGTGCATCGTGATACAAAAAACACACAATAAGATGATCATGGTGAATTTATGTTATTGGATAATTCTGAATATCATATTCAGCAGCACCCAAAGAGACTGCTGGGCAAGGAACAATAAAAGAGACCCAGCAAAAACGGACTGAATATGCACCAACCGAAACTCAAACGATTTTAATCAAGCATTGACATAATTTCAAATAGCTGGAAAGCCTTGCACTTTAACATTGTTTATTTGTTCTCCACTAAAGGATGTTCACTTCACATATGGTGAGCTGCACTGACGATGACTTTATGATGATTTCATACCTAGTATTTCTAATTTTTACCTCTATCTAGTCATTTTATTAACTTTTATTGTATATAACAGAACTGTTTGATTTTATGATCTATTGATACATTGCTGCTTTTTTTTAAAACTGTGTTTTCGCCTATAAATAAAATGTATCATCATTATTATTATCATCATGACTAAAAAAGTCCCATCTGTGATGCAATGTTTCTTAATAAAATGTTAATTAAAATGTAAATTAAGTGCCCTTGAAAGAGTTTTAACCATATTTTGATTATTATCAGAATAACATTATGAATCACAATTACTGAGGCCAGAATAATCATGACACAAATCTTCAAGCAACAAATAAGAAATTTGCTTTCGAATAATTTCAGTGTAGCTGAATGGATTTTCACAATGTTATTAAAAAAAAGCTGCTAAATATATATATTTTTAATTCAGACAACAAAAAGCTGCAAGGGTAAAAAAAAAAAAAAGCCCTTGAACAATTCTTTCTGAAGCATGACTTCATGAGCAATTTATGAAACAAGATGAAAAGGGTACAGCCAGCGCGGGAGTCTCACTGTTTTTGATGGATAAAAAACAGGACAGGAAAAAAGAACTGACAGGAGGTAATCACAATACATAT